TATGATATCTATAAGTAGTCCGTTATCATTTCCCGTCATATTTTTCTACAGTAAATCAATTATTTACGAAAATATTCATTATTATAAAATTATAAAATTTCGTGTCTGTAAAACTTCAACTTTAGTTAAATTATTATGATTTCGCAGTTATTCAATTTATCATGAATCCCAGAATTATCGATTTGTCACAATATATATTAAATTATTTGAATAATAGCTATGCTAAAAATCATAACTGATAATCTATTGTATTTTAAATATTGACAATCGATGTATGTACCTTTATAATTTATATATTATTAAAAATAAAATAATTTAACATTAACATTTAGAGAGATAGATTTATTGATAATACCAATACTGTTGATAATAAGCAATACAAAATGTAAAAAAAATATCACAGCTTTAATAGCAATGTTCTACTTAAATACTATAATCTTAATTGACAGATTAATATACGAAGATTGTATTAAATTTTATTTAATTTTTTTATTAATTTTATTAATTATATATTAAAACTTGATTACACGTCAATTATTTTACTGTAACGATTTGTTCCAAAAAACGTATTTGAATACCGACTAAATAAAATATTATTAATGTTTCATCTGATGTATTTCGACTGTATAAAGTATACATTTTTAGCCATATGAATAAAAATATAAAATAAATATAACTATAAACTATATCATATACCTGATATTTGATGGGCCTTTATTTAACTAATATATTTTTAAACGATTGTTAATACATAAACTATTACCCAATATTTCAAATAATACGCTTCATGTAAGAATAATAAGCACTATGTAAAATTAATGGAATTAATAAATTGTAATGTAAAATAGAAAATCGAATTGTAGATATATTATATTATTATGATAACATAATTTTATGAGGTTTATCTATTATTATAAATGTTTCTCTATTTTAATTTAATATTAAAAATCGAATACCTACTTCCAATTTGGCTATTATGTTGTAAAGTTCGTGAAAAATCATTTTCGATATTGGTACTATTATAAATATAAATAGTAATATTTTTATATCCCGTGTTTCTTGCATACCCCTAATCAGTTCTCACAACTTTATAACTATGTAATCATCTATTTAAAATTCAAAAAGTTGAAATTTTTCCAAATATTTAAAAAAAACTGCAAGTAAAAATGGAATAAAATTTTAGTTCAAGTTACGATTTGCTTGCTAAACGAGTAATACGTATATTTTTTGTTTTTGGGTCAGTTGTCAGTACATAAGTATCGTGTTATTCACAGTTATTTAAATATCATTAAAAATGCTTATTATGCTGACAGAAAATTGATAAGTATTACAGAATAAAATTGAGTATGCCATATGTGCTATGACATACTGGTGATGTCTACAGTCGTGCGCCATGCATTGCAATAATTGCGTTGACTTACGCAGAAATGCGTTAAGTAATAACTGAGTTAATGCAAATTAATCAACAAGTCTGTTAAAAAATGGTCAAAAACAATTACAACTTATAAAAGAATGAATTGTAATTGGAAGCTAAATTATTTCATTTAAAACTATATTTCTAATGCGTCAGTATCAAATGCTAAAACCTTAGCTGCAATAGGTACATAAAAAACAATAAAAATCCAATTATCTCTGATACTCACAAAATATATAAGCCTCCGCTAACAACTATCAAAGATGTGAAGCACTTAAATCAATTAAAACAATTAATAAAGTGTAAAAAACAAACACGATATGAACAGAAATTTAAAGTTTTATCAAATAAAGAGAAAATTTTAAAACCAAACGAAAATCATTACAGAAACATGGTAAAAATAATAGAAGAAAATAATATTGAATACCATTTGATATTTAAAAGTGGAAAACAATTTCAAGTCATATCAAGAAGTATAAATCATAACTAAAACCTAGGAGTAGTAAAAAATGAATTATATGACTAGATTCATAAAGTAATCAAATAACTAATATATAGATTAAGTAAAAATTTTACCCTAAAATCAAAAATAGTGAATGGACGCATAGAGGACTGCCGTTATTCTTCGTAGATTTATAATCAAAAGAGAAGAATAGGGTAACATATACCACATACCATAATGCTATCAGATAATAAAAATTTTAACTTCCACATAAAAAATAGAAGTACCGCAGTGTAAAAACTGCCAAACGATTGGCACACACAAAATTACTCTAACTTAAACTTAACCCTAACCTAACCTAACCTTTCGGCCGTAAGTGTTAAGTGTAACGAAGGTCATTGAACTATAGACTTATCTAAACCTAAGAAGACAAAAGCTTAATATGACTATTGTAGCAAAAATCACACAGCCAACTGAAAAGAGTTATATTCAAAGCCAATCAAAAGTAGTTTATGACTTAATAACGAAAATTATTTCAACGAGTTAAGTATATTAAAAATTGTAAGTGGTGGGTGGAAAAATAAAGAACATCCAAAGCTAAAATGTTTAATATAAAAATAAGCTTTAATTATTGAAGATCTTGATAAAAAATAAAAATTAAATATACAGAAAAAATTTCATAGAAAAGGTTGATGATTTTTATAGAATTTTTTTTTATCTTATGAAAAAAAAACTGATTCGTAATTTTGAACTGTTCAACATTTTTCGTTGGATTCAAATATTAGATATTCCTACTGGAGCAGCCGTTCGAGAAAATGAAAAATTCAAACTTGGTTGAAATGTAGATGAGGATAAGTTGTTTGATGAATAGCTCAAGTAATACAATTTAAAGTTGTTAAGTGGAATAATTGTTCAAAAAAAGTGATAGAAAAACGGTGTGAAGTGTTTAAAACACGAGAAACAAATAGAATTTTTGTTAGTAATTTTTTAAAAATTATTAAATAATTATTTTGAATAATCGGGACAAATTTATCTGTAGAAAGAATATTTTCAAAAACAAATGAATTGTGGGCAGATGATAAAAACATCTTTGCTGTTCTTCTAAATAGCGTCATTTAAGAATATAACTTCTTTGCAATTTTATAAATTTTAGAAAAATACGAAAAAAAGTGAGAGATGTACAAAAAAGGTTTTCGAATTCACAAATAATGAAAATAACTGATGGTATAATTATCTTGATTCTTGTTAAAAAAAAAAAAAAAAAAATAGAATAAAAAATAAAAAATGAACAGTGTTAGTGTGTAACTATTATTTTTTTTAATAATATAAAGTTAATTTTTCTAATTATTTAAAAAATTATATTAGTTTCAATAAAATATTACGTTGTTTTAAAATAATAAAAAAAATATATCTCTAAACATTTTAATACTTTTATAATTTAGGTTAGGTAATTTAACTTAAAATGGATGAAGTAATAAGAACACAACGTTTGTAATATGACATAGATTTGGACTTATACACTCTACAGTTGTGCGCACATGTGTAAATGTATATGAGGAGGTTTTTTTTTTAACTTTTCAAAACTAAGTTCACAGACATACATGACATATAAAGCTGGATCAATACATCAATTCAACAATTCGATAACTCTCAAAATAATATATAAGGTGTCTCAAACGTCAAAGATCATAATATTATGACTTAGTATAAAATATTATATTGGAATAAGACCGAGAATCCACTCTGGAAGAAATAACCTAAACGTGTTTTGTGTGCTATATTATATCATTAAAAATATTTAATTATGTGATATTTATTTTATGTACGCTTTTTAAATGTACGTATTGAAAAAGATTACTTGCTTTATTATAACTTATCGTTATAATAAAAAGCTTTCAGTTGGTTTAAATAAAAAAAACAACGAAAAAATGTTTGAGTTTAAGCATATAATTAAGTATAGATGCAATTTAACTCATCGCTAAATAAAATCAAAATAGATGAATATCATCCGATGTTATAGTCTGTTTTAAATATTTACCTATATAATAATATCATAATTGTTCGTTATGGTTAGTCCAAAAATAAGTAGCTAATTAAAACTATTACCGATGTTGCAGTTGTAATATATTATTAAATACCTATTAATTAAAAAAATCTATGTTTTGATATAATTTAATTTTTTATTTAGATGTATTACTATAACAAAACTTTATAACTATGAATATATACTTTCAATGCATAAACAAAAGTAAATTTAATTCTTTATTTTTTTAAAGTATAAGAAAGTCAATTCAAAATTCAAACACAAGTTATTTATGAATTTTTAAAACTTAAAAATTCGTTATCCCTAATTTACTATTATTTGATGAATTGAAAAATAAAAATAAAACGTGATTCTGATGTCATTGAGTTATAGATATATCAATAATTTTAAAGTAGACTTAATAACTTTTAATTATTGGACAAGTATGTTGATAATTTCAAACAAATACTGATTTTTAGTAATTACACATGGAAACTTCTTTTAGCTGGAGGTGAATTATAAAAACTATCTAGTTTATTAAAAAAATGTAAGCATTAAAACTATGATATTAATATGTGTGAATTAAAAAAAAATTATTTGAAAAAAAATTACAACAAAATGTACTTTTCATAATGTCATAATTGTTTTAAAATTCTATTAGCTTCTTTTTTACGTAAAAATCATTTTTAACTCTTATTTTTTTCTATTAAACAGGATTTTAAAATATATCAACCTAATCTTTATGATTTTTATAACGCCTTTTTATTTCGTAAACATTTAAAAAAAAAAAAAAATTATAGTGTATTTTGTATGTATGTATATATATATATATTATACACTTGAATTATTGATTTTATAGCAGATGTATAAAAAAATAAAATAATAAATACCTATATTACTTTTCTGATAATCTATAAATTAAAAAAAAAAACATATTTCTTTTATTTGTTTTGGATATTATCTTAAGTATGGGGTTTTATACTTTAAAATGTGTAAGTTACTTTCAGTGATAAAAAACAAAAAAAAAAACAATAAAATCATAAAATTAAACAAATAAAAGCTAGCTTATCTATTATAATATCATTAATAATAATAATTTTGTTCAGTATATATAAAGGTGCTTATGAGCCGTTTAACTACTTCATAGTGTCAAGTTGTGAAGTTAACTATTTTCAAACAGGTAATGGTGCATAATTTATCAAAAAAAATAAAAAAATGTGAAAAAATAGGATATTAATGTTAATATGCTAATAAAGTAACATTATATAATTTTAAATAATTTTAAATCTTTAAATTGTTTTAGTTTACCAAAGTTAAAATCTTCTTCAATCTAAAAAATGGCTTCTGAAGAATGTAAGTATTTAGCTATTGTTTTTATCATATCTTGATTTGAAATTTAAAAGTAATAGCAAAAATCTTTAACCTTAATACCTATATGTAATATAAATCTCATAATTAACTCATATTTCTTTAATATTCTTGTAGTTAAGTTTTCTGAAGAGTTTTTAATTGGAACCGGATCTAGTGCATATCAAATTGAAGGCGCATGGCAAGCAGATGGTAAGTCTTTGTTGTGGTACATTTAATTTAGACACTTAGTATTGTCACTACACTTAGTGTACAAATAATAAATAAGTAAGCAGTTCTAAGACTTATGTTTGTAAAGCAATATTTTAATTATAATGGTTTAGATGTTAAATTAAAAGTAATCAAATAAAAAATAAATAATAGTAATTAAAGTGTACAAGTATAATGTTATATTTAAAGTATACATTATTTTTAGGAATAATAGCTTTGAGTATTAGCAATGTTTTATATTACGTTGATAAACTTAATAATTAAATCAATGTTTTTTTTTGATTAATTTAATTAATATATAATATAATTTTTAAAATAGTTAACTGTTTTAAGTAGGCTTACTTTTTTTTAACAACCAAAATTGAACAAAAAAAAAAAAAAAAAAATATGTTTTTAAAACTAATAACACTTTTAATATATTACACTATTTGAAAGAGTTATTACTCACCAAATTAATTTTGGTACTCTGCAACCGTTACAATGGTCTTATATGGTTTATAATAAAACTATAATACATAAATTTATATTATTTAATATTACAGATAAAAGTCCTAGTATTTGGGATCATTATTTCCATAATAAAAAAATCTTACCCAAGAATGCAATACTTAAATTAACGGAAGAAAAGGAAAAATTTAACGATTTTCACAAAGGCATAGTAATTGATCAAATAGATCTCTCCGATCCTTCCCAATTTCTCAATGGAGATATTGCTTGTGATTCTTATAACAAACTTGAAGAAGATATTAAAAACTTGGTTGATCTTAAAGTATGTACCTACAAACTTTAGAGCTAATTAATAATTTTAAAAATTGTCCTTGTTATAAAAACACGAACTATATTAATGAGTATTTTAATTTTTTAAATATCCTAATAAGTGCAAAATATTTAAGTTATTTTCTTTATTTTTTTTACATACCTTAAAAACCTCAGGAGTTGGTTTGATGTTTTATTTTTTAACTTATCTGACCTTATTAAAACTATAGTTATACTTAAATAAAATTATGATTTTTTTTTGGATAGTTATCATTTTCATGTCTTTATACTCTATAAATTCAAAAACTTAAACGAATATAAATTTTCAATTATATTAAATCAGTTAACCAAAATATTTCAAATATTCAAACATTAAAACTTATATTTGTAAAATAGTTGTTAATATGATTAATATAGTATACGTGTGTTTTTTTAGTATACGACATTTTATTTATTTTTAATAAAATTTAGTAGTTCTTTTATTAATGAAAATAATGTTAATTATATTGTTTTAGGTTAATACATACCGATTTTCTATAAGTTGGCCAAGAGTTTTGCCAAATGGCGATGACCGTAAAGTAAACGATGCTGGAGTTAAATATTACCAATCTTTAATTCAAAATCTTTTGGATAACAATATTAAACCAGTGGTAAAGTATTATAATTTAAAACTGTTTTCCATTATATTTAAAATAGAAATACAAATGAGATACTTATTTAAATTAAATTCCTATATTGTACCAAACAAAGCAAAAACTAAAACAGCAATAAATATCAAATGATACTTACAATTTCTAACTATGCATATTTCTATCAAAATCTTTTAAAATTATTTCTTAATAACTGTGTATATTTATAAAAGAAATACAACTAAATAATAATTGTTCTGATAACTTATATGCAAATTAACAAAATATTATGTCAAAAGTACATATTAAACATTAATGTACAGAATAAAGTGAACATTTACATTTAAATAAATTTCATATTATTCTTATAGTTATTAATTTGTTTTCGATTAATCGAGTTTAATTGAACTTAACGTCATGTTTTAATTTTGGAATTATTTTTAATTTATTAAATTACATGAATTATTTTCCATTATGTTTTAAATACTGTTATAAAATGGATTTTTAAATGAGATGCTTGTTTACTAAATATTTAAATTAAATGCCTATATTGTACCAAACAAAGTAAAAATCAAAACAGCCATAAATATTTACAATTTATAACTATAATATATTTTTATCAAGTATTTTTAAAATATTTCTTAATTACTGTGTACCAAAAACTAGGTAACAATGTACCACTGGGATCTACCGAACTGTCTTCAAGACCTTGGTGGATGGGCGAATCCAAATATTATTGAATACTTTGTAAATTATGCATGTTTTCTTTTCAAAACATTTGGCTCACAAGTCAGTAACCATCAATGTTGTGTATACATAAGTGAGATTTTTATGAAAAAAATTTAATGTATTATATAGGTCAAAATATGGACTACAATTAATGAACCAAGATTAGTAGCTCACGCTTACGGTAGTGAGAACATGGCACCCAGTGTTGGTGAATTGTTTAACGGTATCGCCGACTACATGGTCGTTCGCAATTTGTTGCTTGCCCACGGATCGGTTTACAAGAAGTACAAGGTAGAATACTACCCTCAACAGCAGGGTAAGTAAAAAGTCTTCTTCACTGTAGTGAATTAATAGCCGTATCTATGATACATAATTTAAATTGATATATTTAGTGGTACCTACCTACTATCTGTGTTTTATAGTCTATATTATATTTGTATTGTAACAAACATATTTTAATGTAACAATGCAAGTAACTTTAACTGCATTTTAAGAAAACAATAAAATATCAATATTAATTTGTGTATTTGTTTTTATTAGGGGAAATTAGTAGTTTGTGTTTTGATACAGCGTGGTATTTCCCAGAAACGAATACAGATGAGGACAAAAAAGCCGCTAAAAGAGCAAGGGATTTTGATGTACGAGTATAATAAAATATTGAACATATTGATATATAATCCATTTTTGGTATTAAATAATAGTTCAATACATTAAAATATTTTATTTGCAGCTTGGGATGTTTATTCAACCATTGATTGACGGCACATTTCCACAAGCAGTGATAGATGGTATCAACAATACCAACAACACAGAAAATATAAAGTTCAAGCGTTTCATTGAATTTAGCGAGAAAGAAAAAGAAATTGTTAAAAGTAATATACAATATTTTCTAATAAATACGGTTATCGCTACACGTATCATAATGTGTACAATTTTGTTGTATTATTATTTTTTATTACAATTCATCCTAGAAATAATATTTTTCTTGTATGAGTTCAAGTATTAACATTCTATGTGTTATATTATTATGTTTATTAAATCACAATGAACAAGAAACACTTAATATTACCAATATAATATTATACAAATTATTTAGTAACAAGTATTTTTCTATTTTTCTTAATATCAGTATGCTGTTTTTATATTTTTAATTTATTTAATTGAATACATTTCATAAAGAAATGTTAGAAATTTGAATATTTTGAAACCGCAATTACAAACGTATATTATCTATTTCAGATACATATGATTTCATTGCTTTCAATTATTATGATTCGCAAATAATAAGAGCAATGACTGATGATGAATACAAAAATGAGAACTATTTAGTAAATAAAGATATGAGAGTAAAATCAAACAGGAAATCAGAAAAAAATAAGGAAAATGTAATATTATTATATTAACTTTTGTGTCAGTTCATTTTAATGTTTTGAAATTGAATTTGAATTTCTAGACCTTCAAAGGATTTACGGCAGTGGTAAAATGGCTTAATGAAAAATTCAAAAAAAAGGAGCTGTTTGTTGCTGAAAATGGTTTTTCTGAGGAACCAAAAATAGATCAAAGTGATAAAAAAATTGAATATCATCGTGTAAGTAGCACTTTTCTGAGACCATTATGGATTATATTAATAAACATACCCAATATTATGTAATACCGTCTATTTAATAACAAATTGTTTTAATTAATAATTAGGGCATTTTGACGGAAATTAAAAACGCCATAGGTAGTGGTATTGTTTTTAAAGGGTATTGTGTATGGTCATTTATGGATTCATTAGAATGGACAAGAGGATATGCTAGGTAAATCTATTTTTAAATACTATACTTTATTTTATATAATTCTTTTTACACTTATTTAATTATATTTTGTTTTTATAGTGTAATGTTTGGTATTTATGCAGTGGACTTTGAAAGTGATAACAGACCTCGTACCAAGAAGTCATCATTTGAGTTCTTCCAAACACTTTTCGGAACAAAAACCATACCATCTATCAAACCTGTCACTTTGAAAAAATAGTTAATTTTATAGGGCTTTATATTTTATAGTTGACACTTATTCAATATGTTTAAATTTAGATATAAATAATTACTGCAGTTGAACAAATAACAAGATATTAGTAAAACTATAAAGTAAAAATGTAGCTGTAAACTATAATCAATAATAAAAAAAAATATATTAAAATGTTTAAAAATTTGTGCCCTTGAATTTGCGTAAGCACTTTTTTTTTTTAATTAGTCTAAAATTGTTGACATAAAGCTTCCAACTATTGTTGCATGTGAAATTTGTTTTGCAGTTGCTCTTCCCATAGATTCTTAATGCTTGAATTGCCTGAAAGTTCTGTTGTTTCTGCAAGATGCGTAATAGTTGTTTTTTAGAATTGGGGTTCTAATTAGTCAATTACTTTAGTTACGCTGAAGAACTCTCTAAAACATTTTTTGAGTGCTTTGGTTCCACCATTGATATCAATTTTTATGTTAGTGGCAGCTAGCAGCTATGTTTTCAGGGATTTAAGTCTTTTCTAGTGTCTTTCAGTTGTTTTTAGTACTTAGTGTTCACCTAGGTCTGACTTAAAGTTGATGTTGTGGTGTTGACTACATTCCGGTCACAATAGGAGGCTTATTTAAGTCCATACAAATCTGCTGGAGTTTTTCCGTCACGAAATGAGTTCACTACCAAAATGGTTAGTGATCTGTTATTCACTGTTTTAATCAGTTGATAATCCAAGTTCTTTTTAACTATCTTTCATAGAGTTCTCATGAGAAAGTATGAACGATAGCGATTGCCCCACGGCAGTGCAGTTTAGTGTAAAAAAGATGAATACTGGAGGGAGGGGATGCTCTATGTTCCAAAGGATCTTCGTGAGCAGGTATCTATCTCCGTGCTAAGAAACTACCGTGACAAGTTGAGGGTTGAGAGAGCTAATTTTCGCTGGTGGGAGACATTCTAAGGACTCCTAGCTCCAATAATTTAAGCCTAGAGCTAGACAGATCTGGGGCCAGGGGCATTGCACCTATGATGAGGCACTTGTAAGTAAATACTTATTTCTTCTTCAGCCCCTAGGGGTATGATTTATATCGCGTCTACCTTATATTACCTACTACAAAGCGCTCCCTTGTCCGATTTTTGGGGTAACGTTCTAATGCATACATATTCACACAGAAAATTATAATATTTAATAAAAAAATATATTATTGTCTATACAAGAAAACTATTGTATATTGAATCTAAAAAACTAATATAACAAAAGAAAGATACGTGATTTGTTTTAGATTCTGAGCAAAACAATAAATATAATAAAGCTTTTTTTTTTTAATTCAAATTTTTATTTGACATCTGTCATTACATTTTAAAACAGTAAGGATGATTTGATGATCAAATTTGAGGTAAATAGTTGGTATTTTTTACCAAATGTTATGTTTTTCTGTATGCTCGTCACTAGATTCAATTGGAATTGTAAATAACAATGCGAAATAATGTATGTTAAATAGTTTTAAATCTCATTAAAGGACTTAATTTCATTTAACAAAAAATTTAGCAAATTACTTTGTGCATCTGTAATCAATAAATTGTATGAAAAGTATTCCTGTTTTATTAAATTGTTTTAAATCAATTACTGTATAATATCTATAACGAGTTTTTTCAATATTAAAACACGTCAAAAATGCAAGGTGAAGTTTTATGGATGATAAATTGATTAGGATTAACGAAAGATTAAACATTTATACCTGATTCTATGAAATCGAGATTGACGAAACCATGAAATACATAAGGTAAGTACCTAGTAACAGTTTAGTAACAATAAAAAATAATCTAACTGTCAGTGTTTACTTAATTTGGACCACAATGACGTCCATTGACGCGAAGTTATAATTTGATAAATGAGTAAGGGAATCGACAATTTTTGGCAAATGTTCGCAAATGTTAGCAAAAAAACATTGTGATAAATAAAAACTGATTGAAATAATTGTACGAGTATACTATTTATTTTATGAAACTCGTTGTGATAGAATATTTGAGATTGAAAAAAAATAACACGAGAATACAGTTTTTGGAAACATTACATTTTAAGTGTTCCATTTTTTTTCTTCAAAAAATTAGAAAATTATATAAATAATTTGTCAATTGGGTATTAAACAAGTTAGATATGACTTTCCAAACATTTTAATACTACAATGGCATAAAATTTTTCAAAAACAAAATTGTATATACTTATTTGGAAGCAATACTAACATTTTATAATAGGTACCACCATTTTTTTAGTAGCTATCACTATGTTATCTAACATGTTATAACTTTTTATTTCTAAATTCTAGCCTTTATTTTAGATTCTGAATTGAGTGATAAATGTACAAGTTCTATAACGATGTGTGTTTTTATTTGTCTGTCATCATCTTTTGGGGCAGTAAAAATGTTCTAAGTTTAAAACTTTTATAATATTTTCTAGTAAAAGTTGGATATAGTTGGTACTTTAAAAGATTAAAAAAAAATATATATCACAGTATTTTGCAGAATAATCAGTTAAAACGAAAATACTATAAAATATATAAATGTAATCTAAAATATAAAATACATTGATGAATAAGTTAATTTAAACATTCACGTATTGATTTTAATAATAATATGTAATACAGTAGACGCCGCTTATAAGACTCCCGGATATAAGGTTCAGTCGCTTATTAGACTCAAAATCGTCTGGAACGGTCCGGACGTATCCAAATACATTAAAAAAAAATCGGTTATAAAACTCAACACTTCGGTTATAAGACTCAAATTTCGTAAAATAAATAGTAGAAAATAAACTTTTTTGGTTATAATTTAGAAATAAATTGGTATTAAAAAATTAAATAATATTCGTGTTGATTATTTCTAGTTTCTGTTGGTACCTTATAAGTTATAACGCATAATAATTTTTATCGCAGATAAAAGTTCACATTTATCGCAACGATTATCGTTATTGTAGTGTACTGATTATCTGGCGACTGCACAGTTATCGTAATTACGGGTACATAAATACACATACGTACACGTGTACATGTACAAATACAATGAACGATCAGTTGGTATTCGAATTTCAACGTGTGCTTTTCTTGTTGTTAACATGAGTGCTAATACGTGACGTGCTCTTAGTTTGAATGACAGACAAGACATTTTAAGAAAATATGATCAACTTCCAAAGATGGGACAACGTGATGCAGCAGTTAGGCTGAACATTTCACAATCGGTATTGGGTAGAATATTGAAGAATAGGGAAGACATTGAATATGAAGCATTACAAAATGAGTCGCAGAGTCGAAAAAGGAAAAGGTGTGGAAAGGATGATACTGTTGAACGTGCATTGAAAGAATAGTTCGTAAAAGTTAGAAATAAAGATGCTCGCGTGTCAGGTCCTTTGCTTCGCCAAAAAACTGATGAATTGGCAAAAAAAATGGGGAAGGTTGACTTCAAAGCGACAGAGGGGTGGTTCTATCGGTGGAAAAAAAGAGAAAACATTTGTTTCCAAAAAATGCACGGAGAACAAGGTGACGCAGATTTTACGGGTGCACATTTTTGGCTAGAAAATGAATGGCCTTCACTCATCTCCGAATTTTCACCCTCTGATGTGTTTAATGCTGATGAGACTGGCCTGTACTTTAGAGCACTACCTGAGCATACTTATATTCTTCAAAATGACAAAGCAAAGGGAACAAAATCTTGTAAAGAACGAATAACGATCTTGTGTTGTGCCAGTATGACGGGAGAAAAAAAGAAACTGCTTGTTGTCGGGAAGAGTAAGCAACCTCGTTGTTTCAAAGGAGTTAAAGTTTTACCTGTTGATTATACAGCGAATAAAAATGCATGGATGACTCAAGAAATTTTTAGTCAGTGGTTGATCAAATGGGATAATGAACTAGACAGAAAAATTGTACTTTTAATAGACAACTGTACAGCCCACAATGTAAGTTTAAACTTGAAAAATATAAAACTGGTTTTTTTACCGGCTAATACCACATCACTTATTCAGCCTTGTGATCAAGGAATTATTCGTACACTTAAAGCTTACTATAGATTAAAAATGAGAAAAAGGGTAATCACTCTCATTGATGAAATGTTTGAATGTGAGTCAACTTCGACTTTAAAGGCTAATGACCTTTCCAAGAAAATCAACATTCTCGAAGCCTTACACTTTGTTACACTTTGTGAAGCGTGGAATAATATTAGTGACGTGACTATTCGAAATTGTTTTCGTCACGGAGGTTTCGTCAAAACTGAGGAAGAGGAAGAAGAAGAAGATGACCATAGTAAAGACCTCGCTGACAAAACATATGAGGATTGGATGGATATAGATCGTGATCTCCAAACTTCTGAAGAGTATTCTGAGGACCAAATTTGTCAGTCTATAATAAATGAAATCACCAATAACAACGATGAGGAGAACGACGAAAGCAATGAAGAAGTCGACGTCGTAGTTAAACCACCATCAAATAAAGAGGTTCTGGAGGCTTTAGACGTGATAAGGAGAGCTGTCCATCACCGTGGTAATAATTTTAATACACAATACGAATACGAACAGTATATTTTCGGAATGTTAGAAGAAAATAAAAAACAAATTAAATAACAAATTTTTTTCAAAAATAATTTTTCAAAATAAATAATAAATGTATTTACCTATTATAATTTTAGTTTTTTTTTATCAGGATTATTAAATTTATTCAATAATAAAGTATGTAATATGTAATATATGTGTTAATGTATTAAAATCAAAGCAAAATATGTAGTAAAATAAAATTTATAAATACGTAATTAATTTTTTTTTTCCACTTCGCTTATAAGATTCATTCGGTTATAAGACTCACTTTGTGCTGGTCCCAAAGTGAGTCTTATAAGCGGCGTCTACTGTATGTAGTTATTAGAAACTAGAATATTTTAATTAAAATTTTACTGATTAAAAATACTATATACTACATTTATATTTTAGGTTACGTAAATACCTACATATTTTTTTCTATAAACTATATAATTAGCATTTTAATGCATTTTAAAGCATATTCTTTAAATTATTGTGTGAATGATTCAATAAATTTATTGCAATTAGCTGTAAAAGAAAAACAATTATAAAAGTTATAAGCATTTTCTAGTTTCAATACTGCAAGTTTTATTGTTAAGTTCCCATGGTTATAGTATAATTATGCGGTATAAGGACATTTATGGTAGATCGGAGGATAAACATTAGAAACTATAATATCTGTGTACACACTACAATAAATTAACTATTATACAATTGGTCATTCGTCAATCATATTAAACTAATTTTTAAATCCATCTATAAATTAATCATATGAGTATCATAAATAAATTCAATATTTATTTTTATTTTAATAAATAAATAAATACAATAGAACCTCGATTATTCGTGCCTCCGTTATACGGACTCTCTATTATCTGAACTACAATTATTAGCGTATTCGAACGTTTTGTTATCCGAATGTTAAAACTCGTTGAAGCACTCGTATCAATAATTTTGTAAAAAAATATAATTAACATAATATGTTCCCATGTATGTAATTATTTCTAATAATGTAATTTATGTAATAAAATATTAATAATTATAACAATAAATAAATAATATAAAATATTTGACTGTGTTTAAAAAAATTATTAATTAGGTTTTTTTTTTTTTAATTTACAACATCTGAACTTTTGTGTATCCGAACTAGGTGCGGTCCCAATTAGTTCAGATAATCGAGATTCTACTGTAAGTAAATTTAGTGACTGTCTTATGGAAGCGTATATTATAAGAATATTTACTAAAACATGAAAACAATTCTATATTTTATGGTCTTCACTTACTCATACAAATGTGTTCAATAATAAATAATATTTATTGAACGCCCTTAATAAAGAATAGTAATACAACTATGATAATACATATTTTTATTAGTATACACTACATAGAGTGGTCAACTATTTTGGTTTATTGTTATCACAAGTCAGTTGTAGTAGTATAGGAAAACATAGTTCAATATAATGTGTTATAGTGATGTGCGAATTCCCGTGAACATTCTATTCATCACAAATATTCCAACGAATTTAAAATTTTTAAATATTAATCATGTTTCAGTGTTATATTAAACTTATGGTAGTAAATAATCCAAAAATATTACAGAAGAATAAATTAAACTAAGTTTTACTCTTAAATTTTAATGGTCACTGTAAAGCTTGGATTTTAAATAATTTCTTTATTATTACCTTTAATTATTTGTACTTCCTATATTATGTTTAAGCTTAAATGCTATAGAATAAAATTAATATTTGTATCTATTTTACTACAACAAATAACAGCTCTTTACAGATTTTATTTCAGTTTAAATATTTGTTCTTTTAAAAAAAGTAATTAAGTTACTATAAGTTAACATTTTAAAGAAACTTCTTGAGAGGTTGGGAAATATTCTTTGTTCCAAGGAACGTTTCTAGGGAAATATTTCTAGTGGCACTTCACTAAATGTGTAAACAATGAAATATTTTGTACGATTGAAACTTGTAATATGTTTTTTAAACCTAAGTGAATGAATGTTAATAATTGTTTACATGCATATTTTATTGTCCTAATACAAGTACACGTGTTGGTTTTTTGATAAAATCTTTGTTGCCATTTGGGTATTGAACATAATGTACTTCTTCGATTTTATAACCTTAACTCTACCATTAATTAATCAACATAGTATAAACATATTAATTATTAAAGTAGTACAGAGTAAATGTTCGATACATTACTATTTGAAAACGAATAAATAAACTCATCAATCATAATTTTAATAAAGTACAAGAACGCTGAGAACACTTAACTTTAAGTAAATATCTTTTTGTATAGATATGTGTATTTAACAAGAATTCCTAAAATAAATGTATTAGTTATGAGTGTAAATATTATTATATACAACGATTAAACATAAAATAAAGCAATTCATTAAATTAATTAATGCTTTATTAATTTTTACTTGATTGTAAGGCATTTATAAGAAAATCTGTGAATGATGTACAAATATTAGACAAAAGAAATTTTTGTGGTATTAAAAGTTCCATTAAATTAAAATAAAATAATTGCTATTAAGAAGAATATGATAATATATGATAATATTGTGTAATTTTATTGTTATTATTATTAGGTATTCAGTAGTTTTAAGTAAAAGAATCGTTAACGTGAATCGTATTAAAACATGTTTCTTAAAACCAATACAAATTATTGCAATACGAGTATATATTCAGTAATGAAAATTCATAGTAATTTTTATAATTTATTGTTACAATATAAGTACAAATTTAATTAAATACCTATAATGTTAAAAAAAAAAAAAACTTTTTTATTTTAGAACGATTACTTTTAACCTGCATCATCGAATAGTTTGAATTATTTCACAAAAGTTATTTTTGTGTTATATAAGAATAATTCAGTCATTTTATGGAACAGAGCAAAAACTTTTTATTAGTTAATATGATATATTACAATAAATTCAAAGTTTGTGTTAATATACTATTTTATAAGCGAGAAGTATTTTAAGTTGTTCTATACTATACCTACAAAAGTGGTAAATCAGAGTGGCTACTATCCGTTGTATATAATCCTATTAGTATTTTGAAAACATTCTATTTTGTATTAATAGTGTCTATGTCATACGAATTATATGTAAATAACTCCTAAATTAATTTTACTAAAACATTTAATAATTTAAAAATATTTTAAAGAACATATTTTATAGATTTTGAGTTAGAGACGATTCAACAAAAAATGTGACCATAATTTGTTTCATAAAAAAATGTAAAATATAATATAGTATATTGTATTAAGAAACTACAGATACAGTTAAATCGGTCTGCCAAAAAATGTTTTTTAATGCTTTATCTATTGTTACTCAAGGTTGAACTATAATTTTAACTAACCGATTGTTTTTACTTCAAAATAGTACGCTTTTCTTGTATTATACCTGAAACTTTTTCATTTATGTATATTATTTTTATTGCATGCACACTTCTAATTATTTATATTCAAAATGTGACATTTTTTAGGTTTTTAATGGTGTGAAAACTGCATATCAACAAAAGTTGGTTAGATTAAAAACTAGATTAAATCACAAAGACACATTTTTCACTAAATTTGATGTTTTTCAGCTAGTGGTTCGTGGACCCTTAGGAAATTTTACAAATTAATTAAAATAAAATATTAAATAACATGTATAATTAACAACACAAAGGTATACAAATTTCGATTAGAGTTTCTTATCATGTATGATAATAACTAGATATATTTTATAATCATATTTTTTAAATTTGATTTTCGAAATACTTGTATCCCTAGTAACTAGTAAGCCACAACTACATAAGTTCATAGTACTTTTGGCTCAAAATCAAATAAACAAGATATTTGTCTTTGTATTTTTCAAAAAATTTTAACAGCTTTGATATAATTAAGAGATGTAAGTACTTTTAAATTAAAATGATTTATTTCTATGAATAGCACTTGCTCAAGTAGTTCAGAGAATTTTGAGGTTATAGAAATAAGTGAGGATATATGGGTATGAATATTAAGTACTGAATTTTTTTTTACTTTTTAATAGTTATTACTCAGTATAGGTCCCTTTATCTTGAAAAGAATTTAAGTTTTTGAAAATATTTTTCTATTAAAGGTGCATACACATTTAATATCATTTTACAGAGCATAATATTTTTTTGAGAATTTTAATTAATGAAAAAAATTAAATTTAAAACGAGTAATAGATAATTAGAAATAATAGCATTAAATTAGATTAAATAAGGAACCAAAATACACATTTAATATTATGTTACAGAGCAGAATATTTTTTTGAGAATTTTAATTAATGGAAAAAATCAAATTTAATACGAGTAATAGATAATTAGCTATAACCAATTAGCAATAATTGCATTGAGTTAGGTTAAATAAGGAACCAACATTTTAGATGACACTCAATTTTACTGATACAAACTTTAAATACTAACTCTTCATAAATAACATTAATACCAATAATCACAATCAACTTAAATTGAGATTTTTTTCACTTCTATATTATTTAATTATTCGTCCCTTTTAATTAGTTTCAACTATATTTCTTCTTCTAGTTCACTTTCAATTATTGAGTCTCAAATTTTGTCTACGAACCATATACTTTTAACCAACAAATATTATCGTAATTATTAATTTATTTTCCTAATACTTTTTTTAACGAGCAAGAAATATATGGAAAGAAAACTTTGTACTTTATAAAAATACAATAATATAAAATAATAAGTATAATTAGGAAGAACTTAAAATTAAATAACAATAAATTATAATGAAACCGAAACCTTTTAAAAGATATAGAACCAAAATCACGATCGGTGTTTTGAACTATAGAGTTTATGGTCCATGTAAGTTCTTTTAATTTTATTAAATTTCTTATGTAGCACTTATTAACTTTGTATAATCACCCAGATCGTAATAATTTCTTACGGTACATATTTTGTATTTACATTATATTTTTCAAAATAGTACCTATCTATACAAATATTGATGAGCATAAAGATTGTTTAATGTATTCCTATTACATTTGAATTATATCTACAATTTAATTGACATGGTAATCTATAAAGGTGGGTACATATATATATATATTTATATTTATATTTATAATCAAGACATTTTAAATTTTAATAGAGGTATATTATATTATAATTGTCACAATAGCAATTTCGTTAAAGTCCATACTTATCACAGTAGATTAACCTATTAGATTATACGCTCATTATCATATTTGTTATTTTATACATAGGTATAGTCTTCGAACACATTAAATTACTTCGAAGAAAGTAAAAGAATGTTTATTTTTTTTATGCTTCTTGGTATTGTAAGTAGAATTAAAAATCGACACATGATTCCATTAAAACGCATTATCGTAATTCTGTCGTATTCATCATGGAAACCTTAGGGATACTACTACTTACACAACAAATTTGACTAAAATAGTAACCACTTTAATAACTCGCCAAACAATCGTTCGTTGTGTAAGAACTTAATATGTTTAATATTAAAGGTAATATAATACATAATATATAATATATTATACAATAAGTATTAGGTAATATTTATGTCTATATTTAACTGTTTTTGCCTAAGATTCTATCGTAGCACAACTTTCAGAATATTGTTTTTTATTACTCGGTTGAATGTCTTACTGACTGCAAACATAAACGTAGCACTTAGGTTTTCGTCGATTTTTTTTCAATAATTATAATACCGCACTGTTTTAACCACCAAACGCATAAATTCGTTTTGAAATCAGTCGCCTTATTAGTGCTAAATATTACAATGTTCAACGTTTGTATTATTACACAAAGACTGCTGCAGCAGTGCGTAGTTGTCAACGGGCACGTGTATAAATATTTAATGGGGGTGGGCGAGTGTTAAGATTATACGTTTTCATATTTCCATAACAAGAAGTTGATTGACAGAAACCACTTTTTCTCTATAAAAACATACCTAATAATTTTACCAAACTTTCGCTGGATGAGAGGGTGGGAAAGATTTGAACCCCCAAATCCCCCTTCGTGTACGCGGCTGGCACCAGTGTGGCGTAGAGCGATATCACGTCCGGGGAAAAAAAAAAAAAAAAAAAAAAAAAAAATTGAAACCGCTTAAACACGTCGCATAATGTGCTTATCTTTACGACACATCGTTTTGTAAGCAAATATTTGATATACCTTCGCGTCCTAAGGAATGAGAAACAAACACACCGCACGCGTCTAGTAAATATACGAGTTTCGTTATTGGCCAACCAACGTAAACAATAATAATATATAACACTACATCGTCTGCGTGCACTGCTGTACGTCATACTCGACCACGACAGTTGAAATAATGACAGCGATACCCTATTATAATCGGGGTCGGATATTGTGGCATTAAATGTATACTCGTTGCACTCGTTAGCGCCGTGTAATAAATTATGATATAGCCCTTAAAAACATTAAAACAATGCGCGCCGTTTAACAAAACGGATAAATGTTTTTTCTTTTTTTTTTTTTTTTCCATAAAAATTATTTTAAATTTGACTTTTATTTTTCTGTTCACACAACTAGTGAGCGTTTTTGAACGCTCGCATGGTGATAAATAAATAAACTCGTATTGATTTGATGTCGGGCGCTATAACTGACATTCAGGCCATACAATTATTGTTACCGTGTAAGTAGAAGATACGTTAAAATAGTTACGGTAGGTATGTAAAGCGATAAAACATTAAACTTTGTCACCCGAAAAGAACAAAAAAATATCGGAAAAACACGTGTTTAATATGTGTGAATTCATTTCAAACACGCAAACCGAAACATTTGGTATATAATATTTTGAATATGGTTCTATGTAGCTGTATATACGTAAAATATATTGTATCGTACTTGAACGGTATATTATTACAATGTATTATTTCCATACTTAAATTATACTATAGTCTGCAGTTTAATACCCGCGTTCGCGTATAATTCGCATTTATTACACACACACACACACACACACACACACACACACACATATATATATACCGTAATAATTATCGTAATATCATATATTATTATAATACGTACACTTATGAAATATTTAAATAGTGCGTATCCGCGAGTAAGTTTCGAACGCGTTAATGCACGATGTCGAGACTAATAATATGTTTAATACGCGTACACGACACGGTCCATTAATAATAATGGTATCGATCGGGCGCATCGCCCGTCCGCGATGATATAATAATAATAATAATAATATAATGTGTCATCGGCGTATAGTGTACGATATAAAATATTATATAGCATGTACTATACATGACACGCAAATGGGTGTATACCGTATAGATGTAAGCTTTACACCTCGATCCAGATATCATATTTTAATTTACATTGAAATATTATTTACAATAATTATTTTTACTTTAATCGCACAGTTTTGTTGTACGATAATAACATGCGACCGGCACCGCGTTCGTGGGCGTTATGCGCCTCTACAACGCGGTGCTCTGCGTACAGTCAAATAATTAATAATATAATAATATAATGTACCAAAACAACAAGCATATAGGTGATGGCGATATTAATTCAACGTGCGCGTACGGATAACGTAATCCAGTAATTTACATTAGTCGCCTAATGCGAATATGTGGTTAAAATTTAATGTATATAATCGAATGCAGAAAAATATACTATAAACTACGGGGGTGAGTGTTAAGTATTGCTGCGGGGGTGCCGCCATCGAGAGACTTCTCCCCTCGCGGCATCTGATTTAATCCATAACTCCGTCACATTGCACTCATTGTAAATCGTCATATTTTAAATCAATAAAAATGACTAAGTTCAACGTCTCGATCGATCGAAAAGCACACAAACACTTCTACGTTCGATTTCGCAATCGTCGCGTATCATTGGTTCGTCTACATGCAGACAAAAATAAAATAAAAAAATAAATCCTTTTTAATTAGTAAGTAAAATTACATCCTTTCCAAAATCAATAGAAAGTTAATAAACAATGTGAATATCATGTGTGGTTGAGTTTAGTATTGAAAACGTCAGATATATTTCGCATTAAACAGGAAATACGTGGTAGACATTAAAAGCTCTGTTTGTAGACTACGATGTGTCTATATTGACGCTTAGTTGTGAAAATACAGGAAGGTTTCTATCTCTGCCATGCACTCACTCACTACTCTCTTCCCACAACTGCTGAACACGTTGTAAACGTAGGTGTTCGGAATACAAATGTTTACATCAAAATAAATAAAAGCTTTGGATAAGAACTTAGATGAAGGCTGTCGACAGTCGAAATATTATATTATTATCGTACACAGTTGTTCGGGAAGATTAGGAGTATAATATTGATTAGGCATAGTGTTCTCAAAAACATAATCGATACGAAAGAAAATGTACGTGTAGCGTAATAAATTAGTATTGGATATATCTTTTTTTTTTTTATGATTTGTGATTACGAATAATTAAACGAACTGTAATGGTAGTTTATGTGTACGAGACTAGTAGTTGCTATCTAAAATATTATCTAATAAAGCTTTTTACGCGCAAACCGTAAGTAACGTTTAAAAACAATAAATTATTGTGACTGTGTACTTACACAAGTGTCGGTAAAATATTGAAAGACGATAACTACCTCGCCGACGTTTTAT